TTCAAGTTTTTAAATATTTTGGGGAAGGAATTTGGAATGGGGTAAGAGAGGTTTGTTACATGGAAATGATTACCTCCACTTTCCGAAAATTGAAACCGTTGAAATATGTCTGAAGTGACATCGGAAAATTTTGGAGATAAACGGAGCTCGTCCGGTATTCCCCGGATCACAATGGACTGTCCATACGTTGTCGAGAAGTTCTTAGCAAGACGGAAGATGAAACCGAGTCAATAAAAAAATCAAGACCACCGCCCGTTATAACTAACGTGCATTCCTTACTTGCTCATGATTTTGCGGCAACGATAAATCAATAGCGTTGTTATCACTTGGGTAATATAAGTTTCCAAGTTCTCCAAGAGGGAAAGGAAATGTAAGACCAAGAGTTCCAATCTTTGTGTTTCCTCGCCATAATAATCGGTCTATAAGATTGCTCATATGCGTAAAACCGCGTCTCGACCTATGTAACTAGGAATTAGTTGAAAAATAAGCATAAAATTGTTAAAGAGTTCAATGGTTTTACCTGAAAGGTAGGGTGGCTGTTTCGATCGCAGCAGAGATAATACTACTGGAGTGATACGGAAGACTGAACTATGTTGAAATGAGAGATCAGAATGACTATGGCTAACTTAGATGAGAGCAATCAGAATAGAACTTACATTTGGTTGTATGAACTTAAGCATTGTTCCATATGATGGGGAGGTGTTCAAAGGAATAAACAACGAAGACATCTCCGTCAATTGCAATGTACTAAGCGAGGAATTAATCATCTGTTTCGTATAGCTCTCCTATATGAAATCAAGAAGAAATCTAATGATAATTGCATGATGTTTTATTTCAATTCTACTTTTTTTTACCTACTTGTCCAGGCGATGCCAATTTTTGGGTTTCAGTAATTCCAAAGCTCAAAACCGCACTCTTCGGGTATTCTTCGCGCAGTTGTTCGAGGAAGCCACATGCAAATCCACCAAATCCATTAGTAACGTCGGTTAATATTTGAAATCCCTTGTTTCAAAAACGTGATTTAACTATATAAATTTCACGTTCAGGTCATTTCTTATTGCGAAAAACCAAACTCACTTGTATTGCATCACACTCTTCTGCAAAAAACCTAAAATTCTCTTCAAAAGAATCTTCCTCCTAAATATAACCGTAAGATAATTCTACCATCTATATTTGGAATATAAAGAAGCTAAGGGTGAAATCATCTTACACTTTGATTTCTTAAAAACGCGTTCTTTCCGTACGTAAATACGTCAAAACGAAAAAGGTCATCATCCAATGTAAACTCTGAGATGGTATTGATACTTTTCGGATGATAATATATTCTATTGAAATCGGACCAAGTCTTTACAGTTTGGTCCAAGTTAAAATTTCTTTCTTCGAAATCTATATCCATGTGATCTGTGGATCCGGAAGTAAAAGGCCTTTCTTCCTATTTTAAAATCGTATTTAAGTTGGAAATCTAAGTTTACGTGATAAACAATCCCATATATCACCTCTTCTTCTAAGCTATTCAAGAATTCGTTTTTTGGATATGAAATCTGGGAATGAATTTCAGATTTCCAATCCCTGCGTCAAGTTCATCCATACATACATAAATTATCGTTTGAGCTTTTGATTAGAGTATTAATAACAAAAGGTACCATAGTTGATCTTGATCATTTTCTGTGACCTCCTCATATAACTTGTTCATCTTCTTGATCGAACCAAAGCCGCCTAAAGAATGAATTTTCAGGACAAGATATTATAATATAGGCGTACGAGTAAGAAATCCTGCGCATCCGGTCCAACCTTTTAGATCGTAAATCATTAATCGTGGTGTGTAAGTTTCAATCCCCTGTGCAAGAAAAGGAATTCATAAATTATCGTTCAAAAAAAAAAGAAAAAGATTTTTTTTTTCTGAAGGAGAAACACAAAGGTAAAAAAATAAATGAGGTAATCAATTACTCTTTGAGTGACACCCGTGCGAAAGCTTATGTCGTGCGTGATTTCAGGAGGAGAATTTTGTGAGCCATCGTACGAAAAATAAGATTCCTTTGATATGAAGTTGATTCGTGAGCAGTAATAGTATAGTATTCATTCATTCTGGAAAAAGCAATAAACCTGTGCATTCCAGAAGTGAGTTCCTATGAAATTAGCATAATGACCAAATTGTAAGGTTAAAATTTCGTGCATCGCGAAATTGTCGCGAGAATGC